TTCCCATAACCTTAAGAAAACAATAGAAAAACGTACAGATCGGCTGACAAAAAAAATAGTGAAAACCACAGTGAAAACAGACGATATTTTCACAAATTTGACCCTTCACCATCAAGAACAAGAAATTCCGCACGAAAGAGCTCAAGAAGTCGAGGAATTTGCTCGTAAAACTCTTCATGGAAGAAAAGGTGTTTTACACCAAGAAAGAACTCGCAAAGTCAATCAGGGTGCTCGTAAAACTGTGACAGAAATAAAGCAATGCCGTGAGATTTTTGTAGACCAAAACAACGAAAACAATCCAAAGTCAGTTTTGGTTTCCGGTGAACCGGGTATCGGAAAAACGCTATTTTCGCAGAAAATTGTTAGAGACTGGTCAACCCAGAGTTTATTGATACCTGACATCAAGTTCACCTACCTCTTAACATTCAGAGAACTTAATCGTCTTGGCAACAAAGAGCTCACTCTCAGAGAATTGGTTAATCACTCCCTTTTGCTGGACGAAAATACCATGATAACCGAAGAAATAATGGCGCACATKRTCCAGCAYCCAGAACAACTGTTTATTGTCTTCGATGGCTTTGATGAATACAAAGACCGCAACAAAATAATCGGAGAGTTAAAAGAGCTGATCCCCAATGATGTGAAAGCCAAGATGCCAATAACTGCCCTGGTCAGCAAACTTATCCGAAAAGAGATCTTGAGCGATTCTGTCACCATGATAACCTCCAGATCGAGCGAAGCCAACGCGTTAAACGAAAATATCCATTTTGAGCGCTATGTCGAGATTACAGGATTCTCAGAGACACAGGTCGTTAAATACGTTGAGAACTATTTTAAATCTAAACCAGAAGAAGTAAAAAAGATGGCAGTCGACAAAGTCAAAGGATCACCACACCACATATCATTTGGTCGCGCGCCTTTCCGTTGTTTCTTGATGTGCATCTTCATAGAGTGTGAAGTTGAAAACAACCGTGATATCTCAGTTCCTGCAACTCTTACTGAGTTTTATGACCAAGTTATTAAATGTATAGAATTTAATTATAATAGAGAAATACTTAAGCTTCATTTAGATGAGAAAGCCGCGTCAGAGGCTGTTGACAAAACCATCGATAATTTTGCTGAATTAGCGGCAAACTTAACTCAACAAGGTAGATTTAGTTTTACTTCAGGAGACTTAAAAAACCTCAACTCAACAGAAAAAGAAATGTTACTTTCTAGTAATCTTATCTTTTGTTATCCTGTTTCCAGTAATTCACCTTTTCAAAAACCAACGTGTGAATATAGCTTCACGCACTTCACCATTCAAGAGTTTTTTGTTGCTCTGTATTTGAAGAAGGTTGTAATGGCGGAACGAAGAGCCACTGAAATGGTGTACATCTTCATGAGCGGTTTGTTAGGTTTAGATAAAAATAAAGAATCAATGGTAAAACTACTAGAGTGTCTCGGTGAACATATTGAAGATGAATACAGACTAAGACTGGTGTCATTAAGATGTTTACACGAGTTTCAAGACAAAGGATTGACAGAACAAGAAGTGACTACTAACCGTGACTACAGATACTGGAATAGTGATGGGTGGATTGGATTACAAGGTGTAACCGACACGGACTGTGCAGCAATCGCTATGTTAGTAGAATACACTGCTACATCAATATCATCACCACCACACACATTGTCCATTGAATACTCATCCATAACAAGTGTTGGGGTAGAGAGATTGCTGTTATCTCTCGTTCATTCAAACCACACAATCACTAGACTGAGGCTGGTGGAGTGTGATTTGAATGACGAATGTGCTGAGTGTTTGGGTAAATATTTACTCAAAACCAAAATAACCGAGCTAGACCTGGATGGTAATGGAATAACTGATGGTGGAGTACAACACATCATGGAACACATACCCAGTAATCTCACCGTGCTATACCTGGATGCTAATAAAATAACTGATGGTGGAGTACAACACATCATGGAACACATACCCAGTAATCTCACCGTGCTATACCTGGATGCTAATAAAATAACTGATGGTGGAGTACAACACATCATGGAACACATACCCAGTAATCTCACCGTGCTATACCTGG